CGAGCCTGAGGCGAGGCGGTCAGCTCCGCACCGCGCTGAGCTTGGAGAGCACCGAGCCCGGGGGAGCTCGGGTCTGCCAGGTGGGGAAGGACTCCAGGGACGCGGCGCCGGAGGCAGGCTGCCTGGGGTCTCTCCGGGAACGGAGTTTCGTCGCTGTTCGCTTGGACAGCGACCAACCCTTTGGGGTTTTCATCTCGTTTACAATGAATGAGCTGGCCAAAGGACTGTCAGACTCATTTCTTAATTAAAAAATGGCAAGTCATTCTAAAACCCCCAAGTTATTGATTCTTTTTAATTAAAGTATTGTACTTTCCCTCGTCTCCATTCCAGCCTTGGGAGGCTGCAGTTTAAAATAAAAATTTTAAGCTCTCTGATAGTGCTGAATTTACTTGGAGTGGAAAACAAGGTAATTTAAAAATTGGATCATGTGAATCTACCTAGCTGTTTTAGAAGGGGGAAAAAAAGCAAGTCTAAAATGCTTTATTCCAGTTTTTCACTTTTTACTTTTGAATTAGGCACAGATGGAGGAAGAACACATGTAAATGAGTTTTTGCTACCTATTCATGGGAGCCAGAATTTCCGTCGCAAAAACAAAAATCCTCACCTCCACCGCAGACCGTTTCCTGACTCTAATAGACTAATGGGAAATTTTTAATCAAGTTATTAAAATATCAATTGGAACGCAGTGTGTGCATCTTGGGAAATAATTTTAATCTTGTGTGGAATATTGATGCCAACAGTGCGTGAGCAAGGTTTTTGAGCTATTCTAGTTGTTTTAATTTTGCTGTCATGTCTGCAAAGATCATTACAAATCACAAAACTCAGTCTGTTGTGTACGTGCATATAATTTGCAGAGGCTTTCCGCATGGCTTTGGGCACTTCATCTGGACTTGAAGGGTCAAGGTTGGGGCGAGAAGCTCTCAGCAAAGGAAGACTTCTTGCAGGTGTCTGTGGGGTGGGCCTTTTACAAAATTCTACCTGCAGATCTAGAATGGGAACTTGTGTCACCAGAGCCTACTTTTCTTTCCATCAGGGCATCTGATTCAGATTGCCCAGTTATCAGTCTGATTTCCTCATAGTAATGAATCAAACCTGTGACCATTTTCCTCCCATCAGAGATGAGAAAGCTTTTCAGTCACCCCAAGAGGGCAAAGCAGAACTGGAAACTACCCTCAAATTTCTATCCCTACACAGGCTGTTGTAACAAGTCTCAAGGGAAGTCCCTTTGTAAGTAGTAAAAGCCCCACACATTTAGAGGGAAAGACTGAAACCTCTGATTGCCCAACAGGCCAAGGACTGTTGAAACCCCCTCAGCCTTTGAATTGGGGTAAATATCTTTGAAGACACCCCCCCAATTAATAATGTGAGAAGAGGAAATTGGAACACATAAAGCAGAGCCCTGGTACTAAGAAAACTGGGTAGATCACTGAGTGTATTCATTTTCCCTGGACCTGTGTAATCACTACTAACCCATCGTACCGGAAATCCCCCATTACTGTTCTAACCCTAATTAACAAGTCAAGAATGGCAGGGTCTCTTCCCCTTTCCCTCAATACTATTTTGCCCTTTTGTGACTTTTCCCCTTTTCTTCATTATAATCACCTTTGTTAATCATATTTCCCCTGATTTGGTAAAAGGGAAGAAGGGTCTCCCAAAATGTAACAACCTATACTGTGACTTGCCCTGGCTCGGGATTCCATGGCCTCCACCTCTGTCCATCAGGCCTTGCACTACTCATTGATTATATCTAAATAAATATTTGGAAATTCAGTGGCCTTCCCAACCCCACCCTTGCCTGTCATTTGGAGAAATAAATTTGGGGGGGGGTACTGGGGATTGAACTCAGGTCCTGTGCTTGTGAGGCAGGCAGCAGAACCACTGAGCTAAATCCCCAACCTGAGAAATAAATTCTTTGAAAAAGTGCTTTGATGGATAATGTTTTTTGGCCATAACAGCAGCATAGAAACCTGGATTTTTTCATTTTGTCCTTCAAATCTTAGTGACTAAAAATGCAAATTGTTAATGTTTGCCCTACTCTGATCAAAAAATGTAACATGACCTTCACAGTATTCAAAATTATTTTAAAAACTATCCGATCATTTTGCTTTTACTAAATTATATGCTACTCCTAGTTTACAACAGTATTTCCCTCTGTGGTCATTTATGTCTCAGTTGTGTCCCCTTTTATTTAGTATTTGAAATAGCGTAATGATAACATTTTGAAAACTACCCCCAACTGGACTTGGTGGTACATGCCTGGAATTCCAGCTACTCTGGAGGCTGAGGGAGGAAGATGACAAATTAGAGGTCAACCAGGGCTAAAAAGGACTGGGGAGGTAGTTCAGCAGTCTCTGAATTCAAGCCTGACTACCTCTGGAAGCAAAGAAGGAAGGAAAAGAAAAAGAAAGAAGGGCCGGGGGATTTAGCTCAGTGGTTCCACTGCCTGTCTCTCAAGTGCAAGGACCGGAGTTCTATCCTTGGTACCAAAAAAAAAAAAAAAAGAGAGAGAAAAAGAGAGGGCTAGGCATTTAGCTCATTGGTTCTGCTGCCTGCCACTAACTTGCAAGGTCTTGAGTTCAATCCCTGGTGCAAGAAAAAAGAAAAGAGAAACCATCCCAAAATCCTCACTTCGTCATACAACAGGGAAATGTAC